CGAGGGCACCCGGGAAGCTAAAACAATCTTGTGTGCGCGCAGTCGGACGTTGTCTTGAAGCTTGGAGTAATAAGGTAATTTGAGATTTATGCAAGCCACTTACCTCTATTGTCAAATCAGTCAGTTTGCCGGAGATGCGAAGTTCGTTTAATTGGGGAAGACATTGTGTGAGTGCCGGTTCGTCTTCAAACAACTGCGTCTCCTGGTGAGCCATTGTACACAGGAAGTCTATCCAGTATAAATTAAATTTTAACTACGGTTATTCAAGAGCAGATAGCCACTAATATTTCTAATTAGACAACACTGCCGAGGCGTCATTGACAAGGACTGAATGGCGAAGTACGTCAGCATTGATGAACGTCAAATGACGCTCATGTTTATTTGCGTAGGTCATTCAAAAAATAGAAGGCGTTTCGATCACCGGTGATCGAAAAAATACTTAAATCCAGAAAAATAAAATTCAGGCTTAAATCATGCAAGAGTATAATGATTTCTAGGCGAAAAACGGCCAACGCACCCGATCATGCAGACGTCTTCGAAACAATGGCGAAAATACAGCCTCAAAATGTAGATCAAATAAACAAAGAGGATAATCTCCGTAAGTTCATCAGTTTACAAACACCGAACTAGGTAGGTTGTGTACAATGCGAACATAAATGGAGATATGACAGTTATGACGTGTGTCAGTATGTAGGTAGGGTAAACGAATCGAGAAGTTGTTTAAGGCAGCATGATAGATATGGCAGTAATGAAGTATCTGTGAAGTATAGTGAACTCGGTTAGATTTCCGACTATTGGTGTATATTACTTGCTTGGTTTGCGACTTTTTGCATTTGCAATTCTGTTTGTTTTACTTACTCCTGCACTATTTTAGTATGGTTTTAGCTAATTTTGGTTGTGCATAATTCGCGTTCAGTCATAAGCTTACCGACCGTGGTCAGACTAGCGAAACTGTAATGTTCCCACTGAAATGTGGACCTGTAAAACTGCAAAAGAAAAATTTTTGTCTATCAGA